ATCAAGCAACCAACGCGTTCGTAGAAAACTAAAACATGCTACCAGTGAATTTAATAGGAGCAGTTGCGCGGTGGAGTCATGAATTAAGAACGTGCGATGGACATAAATCATGAATGAGAATTAGCCAGAGCAATGATCGCTTACCTTAGGAAATCACTCAAGAAGCAGGGAGTGTGATCACTGGATATTGGGAATTGTATATGGGGCATATTATAAACGTTGTTTGATCATATCGGTACAATCATTGAGCATAGCAAGTGGAGGTGAAAGTATGATTAAAAGTTAGATAAATATTTTTCATTTCCTGGAAAAAAACCAGAGTCAATTAGTGGGTCTATCTTTCAAAATCGTACATTGTAGATTCTGTAAAGTTCTTACAATCCCAAAGAAAGCAGATAAAATGAAATAGTGATTGTTTTTTAACGAATTTATTAAATGCGGCAAACAAGCAGGCCATTGATTGGAAAGAGTTTAAAAGGAGGAAAACATTGCTTTTTTTATTGGAATGAGAAAAAAACACTCAAGATAATCTGAACCTTCTGCAGCACTTTTTTCTAAAAAAAATTTCTCGATTTTATTCCGACACCCTCGCACATAAGATCGTTTCCTTGCCAAGCAATCTAAGTACTGTTTGGTCTCTGGAGTTAGATTGTTGAAATAAATTTTCCAAAAACACTTGATTATAATTTGAATCTATGTGATATACAATAAGTATTCTATTTTACAATGTATATCTTGATTTTGCTTTAGTGAGACTCAAAGCCCGAGGCTAAAATCATAATTACCTCGTGTCCACGAACTATGTAGACAAAATAGAACTCATAATTTTCTTATCAGGTCAAAAGAATGAACTCGACATCTTGGTATCATCTGGCATATTTTTCTAATCGATAAATTTGTTAATGCTAAAATGGCTATTTTAAGAAAAATGTTTTCGACTATGGTAAGTAGGACAAAAACAAAACGATATCGCCCCTAAGATGATTGTCTCGAAGTAATGAGACAGCTTTTTTTCGAAGCATACATATTTTTCGAAAGCGAAGGACAGGGCCGTAAGAAACTTCACTTGTTTCAGCTGCTCATTGGTAGAAGTTACTAGGTTTTTATCAGAGTAACTTTTGAAACTTTGTAAGATTGTTCGCATCCCTTTTCACTAAGAATTTTAAATAATGGAACCCTAAAAAATTACATATTTTCAGAGTGTTACAAATTTTCCCCTCATCCAAATAGAGTAGGTATTGAAAACGGAAACAAAAAATTAGATAAGATCAGGTTGAACCATTTATTTTTAGGGCTAAAAATGACAAAAAAAATAGTTTTTATGTGTTTTTATCAGCTTGTATCGCCGTGAAATGCTAGCAGTGATCTTTATTTTGAGCGCTAGAGAAAGGACATGAACTCATCTCACTAAATCATTGATTTAAATAAATGCACTGAGATCACAAGAAATCACGTTTTTTTGAAACTTTAGGGCAAAACTCGAAAATCAACCTGCTCCTTGAACTGCATACAAGCACCTTTTATACAGTGTCCCAAAAAGATGTGCACACTGTTTGATACGTTAATAATTCTTTTGCTTTCATGTCTTTTGCCAAGCTTGAGGTACCATTCTTTAGAGCGAGGATAAACTTAGATTATAGTATGGAGCGAATCACTTGTCATCTTCGTTACTGTAGGATTAAAGTATGAACTTTGAGCATACAGCGTCACTGTGGAATAAGCCTCTTGATGATATAATTTCGAAAAAATCTGAAAATTTGTGTAGCGAGGTTTTAGGGCGTGCTGATTTCACTATATAACTTTCCGCCAATTTTTAGAGCTTTCTTGATGGCGTATTCGTATTTTTGACAAACATTGGAAAATTAGTTGTTACCTTAAATCCCAAATAACTCATGAAAGAAACAGTGTACTGAGGTGCAATTTTCATATTTAGAATCAGCAACTTCGTTAACCCAGTTCAAGAGTTTCTGGCTTGTTTGGCTTTCTTTCTAAGGCAAAATACCGCTTTTAATGGCTTAAAATCCTCTTCGAAATTTCTACCGTAATCCTACAGTGACGAAGAGCGATTGGTGATTCGCTCCATACTGTAAATCTAAGTTTATCCTCGCTCTAAAAAATGGTACCTCAAGCTCGGCAAAAGACATGAAAGCAAGAGAGTTATTAACGATCATACAGTGTGCACATCTTTTTGGGACACTCTGTATAGCTTAGATTGACGTGACTAACAGAAACTCAATATTGCAAAAGTTGTAACTCCGTAGCTCGCCACACTAAAGAATTTACGTAAAATATAAATGAAATACTCTACAGTCTGCTCCAATCCGGATCAGGCCGAACCCTCGGCGTAAATTTGCGCGCTTGCAGCGCTAGCGGTCTGCGCTGCATATGCGCGCTGTCGGAGAGAGCAAAAGGATCGCAGAGAGGGCAGAGAAGCAGGCCGTGGGCGTGACCGCGAAACCCTAGCGACGCGGACTCCCGCCATGCCAATTTTGGCCTGGTTGGGATTGGGGCAGACTGTAGAAGTGAAAAGTCAACATCTTCTACGAAACCCATGTTGCTGCAAACTAAAGTAGATGTTATGGCCTTAGCTTAGCCTATATATCCTACCTTGAATAGCATAAATCATTCTCATGTAACATAATTTTTGAGAAACTGCCAAAGTATTGCGTCGATCGCGTGACGATTTCTAATTGCCTATAGCAAATGAAAAACCCAGAGCTTTGGTTCATAATATAGTAGTCCTCGGGAGATACTCGGGAGATACGGATAAAAAGCAAAGAAACCGTTTACAGTGTTTTGCATAGAAGACTCATTCGTGACTCTCAGTGCGGAAAAGCATTTCAAAACCATAAGACAGATTTTGTTTTTGTGATAAAAGGCATTTGACAAAAATGTTAAAAGTAAATAGGAACACAAGAAATGTTTTTTGCCTGTTTTTTACACTGTTTGATCTCGGGGCTAACTAATGTCGCTGCTCGCGCGATGCAAACCACTACTCGATTCAGGTGCTGGGAGCACTGCAAGCCGCTGGATCGGGCGCGCTATTGCTTTCGCGCCCGGACCCCTCCTCGCGGGGCGCGTTGCCAAGTCGAGGGGTATATAAGGCCGCGCAACGCGCGCCGTATGCCTCTTTGATTTCGATGACCTCGTTTTCAATTCCTTTTGATTTCTCATGTATTCTTATCGATCGTGCTTGGCAGCTACCCCAGCAAGCTCACTGGATGAAGTCTTGCGAGCAGAGTGATTGTTAGAGCTTTTGGATCATGCCGCGCTGAGCGCGAGGAAAGTTTGGAGCTTGGATTTAAGGTTGTACCAGGAGTGGAGAAGGCTCGTACCTGTCCTATGCGGAGGCGAGTAAGCGGTCGACCCTAGGGATCCCTGACGTTATGCCTAGATTTAACTTGGTGATGATCGGCGGCTTAGGACGAGACGGACTCGTCCCGTATTTCTTCTTTTTCGTAGTTTAGGACTTTAGTTTAGTTTCTTTGTAATGTAGTGTTTGTTATTTAGATAAACTTAAGTAATCTAGTCGTGCGTTTGTTGTTATGGTTTATTGCCACCCAGCGGGGTATCTGTCGGTCGCGCCGGTGTAGCTAACCGGCGCTAGAGTGTGCAGGAGTAGGTGCAGGATTGTGTGGGCAGTCGAGCGAGCAAGGGGTGCTGAGTCACCAGCCGCAACACCAAGGAAGTTCCAAAAATAGCATTCAAATCAAAGATGAGATCTAAGGTGGCTCAAGTTTCAAAACCGTGAAGACTTCAATATTGTTGGAATGTAAAAATGAGTGGTTTCTAAATTTCTGTTTTCTGTTGATATTTCTGAAAAATGTAGGATGTCGATTTTTTTGCTACACCCGCGTGATTATGATGGTACAGGACCTTCGTTTAGCAGAGACTGACGCTTCAGTTTTTTCTTCCGCAAAATCCGAAATTCGAATCTATCAGTGAGCAGTATGTCGATTGAGGTGAAAAAGGCTAGTGTACGAGTCGCAACCAAAGACACAAGATGTTATGAAGCCGTCTCCTTAGCATTCAGTTTCAACCTTGTTTTTATGTCACTGACTGTCAATTCAAAGTTTTTAGTTAAGTTAAGCGTAATTCTCTTTCAACTCTGAAGCTAAAAATTTTCATATATTCTCCTCATCATGTTGACTCCGCTACCTGACCACTCCATTTTTCTAAAATACAGAAGCATCTGTGGAAGTATGCAGGGTTTTAATTTTGTCGTTTAGATAAGGTGACTTTTAGTTAGCAGTGATAGCGTACTCTTACAAAGGATGGATACTTGCTCGAAATGGCATTTCCATATAATATAGAGCATGGGACACTAATTGCAAATCTGCTTTCGGCTCTGCAAAGCGTTATGGGAGGGAAGTTCTGCGGATTTTGAGGTAAAAATTCAGTAATTTGGCTAAGATAAAATTAGGTGTTGAGGTGTTTGCGGCGCTTGAAAGAAGTCATGACTGACAACTCATTGAATTGAAGGTCTTTATTCCATAAAACACCCTAAGAGTAATCAAGGTCCCGTTTGAGCCGGACTAAGATCCTGAATGATTGTATTGTAGCGGTGCTTTCAAAATTTCGCATCAAAAAATTTCCATAACTTCCCTCTCGAAAGCACTTTGCAGATACTGAAAGTAAGTCTGAAGCCAGCGTTCCATGCTCTGTAAGATAGTGTTCATTTCGCATGGAAACTCCACTTTGACCGAGAATCCATCCCTTGTTAGTGTTTTGTCAGTGAAACTGTATATTGCTGACTGAATTCAAATAGGCAAAACTTCGAAATCTAAAATTTGGTAATAATCATCTCTTCAGCGCCACACCTCCAGGCTGTTTTGTTTAGAATTCTATAAAATTACGCAATTAAGGTGATTGCTTGCATCTGCCTCGGTTTCGACCGTGTTTATTGGATTGTTCTTATGCATTCGCTGAAGCAATTTCAGAACAAAACAAGATTCGCTTCATATCCTTTATATTATGTATCATGCGTCGTACATATCACAGCAGCATCACAGCATCTAATATACACAGGAATCAATGACTCAAATCAAAAAAGTGCAAGAAATGCAAAATTTGAGCGATGAGTTTAGTCATGTACAACCTAAGAGCTAGAAATTCTGCAAATATAGCAACACTGATGTAAGGAAAATGAATGACACCGGAAACAGGAGCAAAAGGACTAGAAAACAGGCATGCTATTTCGAGAAGCATACGAAATTGAACTATCAAAAAATGTACAGAAAAATAGACGGAAAACATGATCAAGTTGACATAACCGGCATCATGGGCACATATTAATAAGTTTTTGTTATTTAAGTTCTTGCACCGGTTCTAATTACATGCAATATCATCTCTCACCAAAAAATGAAATATAGAGAGTAAAGAATAGTGTGAACGTTTTAGATTTAAAAGTGGGGACATCAAATCACATTCTCCTCAAAACAACCATTGCTACGGAGATTCTTCGATTCCCAAGCCTTCCCTCAGGGATTTTGACCACCTAAATACAAAAGAGTTGATAAAGCACCCTTGCAGCATATTATACTCGCTAACTATTGTAGACTGAGAAAACGTTTTGCATGAAACAAAAAATACAACTAACAAAGAATAAAACAAAAAGAACGAAAATGAAACATTCTCCAAACTGCTGAGAGAAGCTGGAGATTGTGTCAGTAACACTAAGTTTTCAAAATTCTTTCGAAAAAGTGTACAAAAACATAAAATCCTTATCGAAAAATTCTAGGAATGAAAGCAAACGTCTTCAAATAGTATTGCGCCAAAGTTAAGACAAGTAAAAAAAAACTCACTTAGCGACACTCTTCTCGTTTTCAACACGGAACGAGATTAAGTGTTCTTTCCTATCAGTATTAATCTGATTCCTATGCCTGAGCTCGAAAATAGTTCCACCAGAGTCCGCTTTCTTTTCCTTCAACGTGAAGCCGTAGATCACATATTGTTCGCAAGGTTCGAAATCCTAAAATGATCATTTCACCAAGTCATTGCATTGGGTACGTTTAGTACTTATAAGGACTAAGCAAATCGCTGGAGCAGTCGAACAGAGAAGCAACGCGATTTGACTAAAGTTGCTCAACGTGGAGTGTTATTTTTGTTCTCGCATATTCCGTACTATCAGAATAGGAGTTTCGAATTTTTAGAAGTACGATGTGACACTGCAAAAAGGTTTAATGATCTGAGTATACGTGTCAGACTGATTCTGAAGAAAAAAATGCACAAAAAGAAGGAGAAGAAACTGCACGCTAGCACAATGCTTACGATTAGTTCGCAAACAGTACGGTTATTTCAGAATTGATTTTCGTTCTATTCATGTGAATCATCGTGAAGTAACTCACATAAGCAGCCTTGTAGAATTTCAGCACCATGCCTTCACTAAGTTCTGCGAAACGCATGATTTCACCACCCTTCGCATTTCTGAAAAGAATGTCGAGATAAAGCTAATCAACAAAATTCGCTGTCCAACATCATATAAATAGTAAGACAGCATCTGGGGCGGTATTTAACAATCTCCCACTCGCTGTTCGGGCCATTGTTAACGAGTGCCTGGACAGGCGAGAGCGCCATCTCATTATATTTGAAAGTTTGGAGCGTGTGGCCCAGGGCAGCAGAGCCCGACCTGTCGAGATAGGGCACGATCGGGCACCTACCGTGCCCTATTTCGCCAAACTTGCCAGATAGGACCATAGCTTCAAACAGATAGGAGACAAATCACCAGCTTGGCTTCGTGTATCGCGGACACCAGTGCCCGCGCCTATACGGGATGTGACCTGTACAGGGAACTCTTCCCATATGGGAAATTGATAGATACCGCCCCTGGTTATTACACACATCTGACAGAATCTTAGAAATTCATCCAAAAAAGCAAAGCGGCGCCGGTCCTGCCTTCAAATAAATTCGAGAATTTCGTATTTTCAAATTACCACGAAATTTTGAATAGAGGGAAGAAGCTCACAGCATCTACATGCATTTCAATCTGCCTTAAAAAATCTAATGAGATTACTTTGTTATTTGACCTATGTTTAAATGATGTGGAAGGAAGGGGAGTATTATTATCTAATCTATGACTAGGAGACTCAAGATCGCTTTGCACACACTTCAAGCAAAATTGAACTTGTTTTTTTCCGTTTCTAAGTGGCAAGTAATCATAAATGACATAAGTTACTAGTGACTTGTGAATCGTGATAAACTTGCTAAGTACACGATCAAATTTGTTTAGACAAGATATACAAGGCGGTCTCTAGTCTCTTAGTCGTAGAATAGACGATAACTCACAATGGCATGCCGGTAACTCGCCTGTACATGACTTTACTAGGCAGCTTCCGTTGTTCAATGTTGATACGTTTCAACATCTTGTTGGTTGGTGCGACGAAAAGAGTCTGCGGTTCCACAACAACGATAGTCCGCTGAAGTGACAAAAACTAACAGTAGCTGATATCTGATGATAACAAAGAAAGTAACTGCACTTACATCATCTTTGGGTACCTTGACTCTGAGCGTACCATCGGAACCTTGAACGAGAAGATTTGTGGGGAAAAGCTTGCCCTCATAATCTGAAGATCAAGTTCATGAATTGTTAATAATTTCAACCGCGGTTTGTTACGCACATAATGTCTCCAATTTTTCATAGCATTCTGAGCATACAGCCTCCTTCTTGAACTGGAACTTTGGAAGAGGTGCTTTTCCCATGCACGCGGAACATATCAACTAAAACAAATCAAAAATAAAGGAAAAAAGATAAACAATAATCCGTACCCATCCACAATCTCGGCAATGATGACGTCGATTTATAAGGTTGAAAACTGTGCCACAGCCTTCCATAAGACACCTGGACGAAGACTCATCTGGGATCCATACTGGCTTCACAGCATCAGCTCCTAAAATATGCATTATATAAAAGAAGTATCTTTACAATACGACGGTGAAAAAGTAGACTTACTCTTCCTCCGCATGTACGAAGCCTGTGAGGTGACAGGATGTTCCTCCACAGGTGTGCTAGGATGAGATGAGTCTTGCGAATCGGAGTTGCGACGAGATCTAAGTTTGTATTCGATTCGATACTCAGTGCTTCATTAGAACTCGCAGCAAACAAAAACCGCAGCTTTTGATATGTTGATGGTTGGAAAATGCTCTTTAGCACAGAACATAAGAATAAAAAATTCAAATCCAAGACAAATATAGAAAACGTGCATGTCAGCTACGAAAATCAAAAATAACACTTATTATAGGAATCTATCGGAGGCCGAAAGTTACGCAAATTCGTAGAAAGGCTCAAACTTGGCCCAGAGGGGTTATCTGACATGCTGATCACGAATATAACCTTTTCTCCGCAGGAAAACGCCTCCCTGCAGGGTTACGGTAGGTGCACGGTAGGGGGTCAAAATCACGGATTTGCCCGAAACTTCGTCTAGAGGGGTTATTTGGCATGCTGAAGATGAATATGATGTTTATTTCGTGCGACAGCGCCATCCGGTGGAGTTACGGTACGACGACGGTAAGGAGTCAAAATCACGGATTTGCCCGAAACTTGGCCCAGAAGGGTTATTCGGCCCGCTGATGCCAAATATCACATTGGTTTCAAACCGTAGCGCCATTTTCTCGGGTTACGGTTGCTATACGGTAACGTTGTAAAACATAGTTCTGCCTGAAACGGGCGTACGGCGATTCGGACGATCGTGAAGCTTTGCACACACGACCACCGTCGCGCGCTACATACCCTGTTGCGGCTTTTGCCTAAGCAAAGCACAGGGGAAGGATACATTTGCCGATTTGTGGTTTTGACCCCTGCGGTAAACCTACCTAACCATGCAGGGAGACGTTTTCGTGCGGAGAAAGTTTGATATTTCTAATCAGCATGTAGAATAACCCCTCTGTGCGAAGTTACAGCGTATTTTGAGATTTTGACCCCCTGCCGTATACCCACCGTAGCCCGAGAAAATGACGCTACGGTACAAAACCAATATGATATTCAGCATGAGCGGGCCGAATAACCCCTCTGGGCCAAGTTTCGGGAAAATCCGTGATTTTGACCCCCTACCGTAATCCTACGTAACCCTGCAGGGAGGCATTTCCTGCGGAAAGGTGATATTCATGATCAGCATGTCGGATAACCCCCCTGGACCAAGTTTGAGCGGAATCCATGACTAAAAAATTTTGGGGCCCGGATAGCCGAATAGCGCCGAATGATGTACATATACAACTTACGTGGTAGCAGACTGCCCATTACATGTGGCAGAAATTGTGGTTGCTGGAAGAATGACGGAGGCGTTATCTTCGAGGGTATTCTGATCAGAAGAGATACTTTCTTCATTTAGCGGTGCATCAAATGCAGAAGGATTCTGGACAACATTTTCCTTGCAACATATAATTTAAAACCAACTCGACTAACCATGCTCTGCCTCTTCTGTCGCTGTAATGCCTCGCTCTTTCGCCGTTTATAACGGCGTTTCTCTTCTCGAGCATTTTCGATGTCTGCCTGCCATTTACGGCGTTCATCAACACTACTGCAAAGCAAACATAATAGGCAGAAGAGGCTCGCACAAAAGAAAACTTGCCTCATAATCAAAATAACGCTTTTGACTTTGCTTCTGATGAACAATACCCGCTCATAGTCCTCATGAGGACTAATTTCAGTCCGAACAGCTTCTATTGGTATCATATAAGAACGACCCATGTCGAAAAGACCAGATGATGTGAACCCTGACATTACTCGGCAGATCCATAATGTGTCGGAAAACTAAATACTCAAACTGCAAATGACCATTTCGCTCGAAACAAACTCACAAGGACAAGATATCGTGGCTGAGGCTCTTTTCTTGTTTGTTTGAGCACTTCTCCTTCCCTTATCAGCCGTCTGCCACGGTAAAACACATCAAAATGACACTGAAAATCGAAATAGGCCTTTTCAGAAAAATTCATTTAGCGAAAAAGGAATGCAAAATGTGCTATCCAAATTCCAAAGATGTCTATTACACTTGTACACTAATTGTATAGAAGATCTCTAGACTAACCTGGAAGCGATCGTACAATCTACATAGCTGTTCGCTGCTTGGTAACCCCATTGCATCATTCACCGACTGTGTTATTTTTTCCAACTTAGCAATAGCTTCTACAAATAGCAACATAAAAATTTACAGAATATAGTGAGGGCCATGAAAGATTCACTAACCAGTTGTTTTCAGCTGCTCTTCACTACCAGGTTCCAGGTACCTATTGTAACTCATCATCAATATTTTGTACCGCATAAAATTCTGATGCACTTGATCCAGCTGCTGTACCACCGCACCAACTCCCCGTTTCAAAATTTTCTGTTCAAACTGAAAAAGAATAGGTTGGGTTACTCATAATTTTCTGGACTACATTAGAACACTTACTGCAACAGTAGCATTGTCGAAATCTTTATTTTCTTCACGTAGTCGAAGAAGTTCTTTCACGAATCGGTCTTTTTGTAGAAGAAATGGTTTGCAAATTTTTAGAAAATCAGCATATTTAAGGATGACCTCGGCCATATTAGGTCTGAGAGAACTCCTGCAATGACATTTTTGCGAAACGAAGCTTTGCGTACAGAATGGTTTGACAAGTTCCAACACTCGAGAAGATATACTGATCACCAACTTAACAAGAGATAACAAAAGTATGTCATACCCACTAGAACATACACCCTACTTACCATGAATCAAGTCGAGTAGAGAATTCCTCCAACAGTGCCTTATGAAAGCCTCTGAGCTGTTGAAAGAGAATTTGCAGTTCTCGTACTATATGTTCTTGAGATCCTTGCCGGCTAAGTAGGTCTTTGCCCAAACGCTTTCCAAATTCATTGACATATGCAGGATAAACCTGAATGAGATTACCGCGATAAGCCATAAATGAAGGCATAATAAATGTTACCTCGCACATGTTAGTTAAGTATTTCAGGAATGAATCTTGTACTGTGTAAAACTCCTTCGCTGCATAATGTAGCTTTTTGAGACGTTTGTCCTTAAGCAGAATAGTATGACAATGCCCAAGAGAAAAGTAATACGAAGCAGTCGAGCTCACAGAAACAACTGAGTAAAGTCTTCGAATTCGAGGTAAATAATAGTCATTTTATGTAATGATATAAGTGATAGTAATAATGAAGGATTCTACTATATAAGTAAAACATTTGTCAAGCAAAAAATACGCATCATTATTGCTTCTCTCATTCACATGCACATTACAACATAGTTTTACAGACACTCACCTCTTCTTCATTACCAGTATTGTAGTCTGGAACGGGTTTGTCTTCCACAATGTAGCTATATCCATCCACACATACTTCAGTTTCTGCCGATGTGGTCGTAGTGCTGCTACTTCGATTACTGGCACTATTTTCTAACTTCTCACTTGAGGCGGAAAGTGAAGAGGCACGTACGGGCTGAAAACACCAAAAATGCACAGATCTATGAGATACTGGAAAGATAAAACTGGGCAAAAAAACAGAAAACAACAAAACAAAACAGAATAGAACATGAAAAGGCTATACCTTTGGTTGAGGTGATGGTTCAGAGGATGTCTGTGAGGGAGATAACATCATAGCTGACTTCTCTATTGCTGTCTTAGCAGGCGCAATTTTCGAATGATCACTAGCTCTATAAGACGGTGAAAAAATAAAAATAAATACTATGAGCCTACTAAGTGAACTAACCTCAGAATTCCTCGTCTTCTCAATTCCTCAACTATTTGCTCGTGGATAGCAGGATTTCCATTAAGGAACAGCGTGGATGGTCTGCAAATCAGTGTTGAATTGTTGCTAATTAGAAAAACGACTCAAATCAAAGGAAGCAGACCTCCTGAATGAGTGAGGACCCGGACCGACAAGGTAATTATCAGGTCTCTGCAACGAACTACCGCTACTTTGTCGATCCTCTTCAAAGTCGCTATCAGACATTTCACCCATATCTCCGGTCTCGGTGCTAGCCGAGGATATCGTAGACTGAGGGCTAAACAGACATAATAAACATTTTTATGGGTACAATGTCATTTTCAATATCAGAGACCACCCACCGAGTTGTTGTGGAAGCTCTCGGTGTTGAAACCCCGTCATTTTTTCTTTCACGCACAAATGAGGGCGGAGAAGAAGCATTCGATCCACTTGGTTGTTCGCTCATGTTAGGAAGGGGACTGCTAGGCTCATCCTCGCTGGCAGATACAGTAATAGTGGGTCTCTAAAACAGATGACAGATAAAAATGCTGTACGTTGGAAGGGCAATGGGAAGGGAGGCTCGATAGGCTTCTCACGTTAAATGCTAAATCAACATCTGGCCATCGTTTTGATACATTCATTCACAGCAACAGCAATATATTTCGTGAGTTTTGTCAATAAAAGAGCCCGAATAAAGCCCCAGCCCCAATAAAAAATATACAAAATTCGAGATTCTGGAGAAATCTGAAACAAAAAAAGCTACCCAAGTAGTGTTAAAACGTGATTCTGTCATTGCTCGAGTTCCGTCGTTCAAGCGCTTGACTTTTCATTGTCAGCACATCCTTGATGCACTTTAAGATTCTTCCGTATAAAATGTTACAAACAGATCAAATAAGAAAGGAAATTCTTGTTATTGCAACAGATCTACTCAAATTATCTAGAAAGAGTATGGAGTTTAGCTCATGGTCCAGTGATGCGTCACACTTACAGCTCAGCATAAAGAATTTATGGTGATAATAGATTGACAGGGATCCAGCATGAGTCACATCCAGGGTTGAGCGTGGGGTCAGGCGCGCCCGACCTGGGGGGTCGTACTGGGGTAAGACAGGGGGGGGGGGGTCGTGATTAGGAATCGAATTCGTTCGATTGAGGAGATACTACGATTAAGGTGAAGAATAAAAGCGCTAGTTTAGTGGATATCGCCAGTACTGAAGGAATGAACGGTCTTAAACAGCATACTGATGATTGATTCCACAATCGAAGTTTCGGCCAAAACTCAAATCTTCATCTTCTACCTTGACATATTATAAATTCATCGAGGAAGCTTGCTGCGTGAAATGGGTATCATTTCCGAGCACGTCAAATTACCTCTATGAGCCTTACAAACCATTATTTACTGCATTATTTAGTGTTTCTCAACGACTAAAAAGCGTGATTTTCAAACATGATTAACTTGTTTTCTAAAGTGAGAAAAGTCAGTTTTTTGTACTCGTAACAAAGTATTGTTCCCTACTAGTCTAGGCTAAAAATCGCGCTTTGTATCGCTTGCAAATAGTGGAGTAAGAAATAATGCCAAAATTCCGACCGGCGCGTTTTTCGCCATGACTGCTTCAACTCCACGGATTACCACAAGGCCGAAACAAGTCGAATCAAGTCCAAACACTTACTGTGGAATCTTCGAGGGTTGTGCTAGCGATTCGCATAAAACTTGAATAAAAAAGCTTCTTCAATGATAAAGTTAATCGGGTCAGGCGCAACCCCACAAAAGGTCAGGCCGCCTGAGCTTTTGAGGGGTTGCGCCTGACCCGATTAACTTGTTTTCAAAATCTAAAAATCGCTCCATTTCTGCTATGAGTATTGGACTCAAAGCCTCTTCTTGCAATACTGCAAATTTGGAGCCAAACAATACACCCCTGTGGGAATTATAGCTCTAAAAGTAGGGCTATCCAAAATCCAAAACTTGCCGTCAAGTTGCGTGTGCTGTGCAATCGCAGAAAGTCGACCTACAGACCTCCAAAAAACAAGAACCTCCCAAAAACGGCTGATCTCTTCGAATTATCACAGCCTGAGGTCCTGGAGGTGAAGCAGAAGGGTCGTTTAGGGGCTTTCACTGGGGGGGGGGGTCGTTTTGGGAAGACTTGTGCCTGACCTCTTGCTCAACCCTGGTCACATCTCCCAATGACTGATAATGAGATGGCACAAATGAGCACAGTTTTATATCTGAACCTTATTCAGCCAAGTTAAAGGCACCGTCCACCCCAAGTTGAGGGTGTTCAGCTTTTGGCAGCATATAACACTAGGGCCTCCTATCAAGCCAATGCCCAAGTCGCGGCGCAAAATGCCGCTTCGGAAGCGAGGAAATCGCTTCGGAATAGCGAAGATGCACGAGGACCCCTATCCGCGCCCGCCCCTCCCCATCCATGCCCGCCCATTTGTGCGCGCTCATCCAATCACCGTTCTGTAAACATGGTTTGTGGGTTTTCCGGAATGGGGATTTTTGAGATTTTCGAGGATTCTCGACTTCATATTTGGAATCAGGAACATGAGAAAGGCCTGAAACGACGGAAACCTGGAAGTCGAGAATCTGGGTGGACGGTGCCTTTAAGATGCAGTCGTGCCCGCAGAAATTCAGCTATGATCAGCTAAAACGAATACAGCGACTTGTAACACCCCCTAATGTCGAACCGCATTGTCCCGAATCTAGCATTTACCATGTCTATCAAATCTAGAGGCAAGAGCGTTAGCGTCAAATCATTGAGAAGATACTGATGTGGGGCAAAAACAAAACCCAATCTAACTGAAGTTCACTTAAAGTTTGAACATGCATGAAAAAGCTTTGCGTCATGTTTTTCCACTTTTTTTTTCAACGTTAATTGTGCTATTTTACGGTTGCAATGGCAAGGCAATTATGGTTGTACAAAAGCGATAAGATTAAGTGATGCACTGTCAAAGGCACAAGCGCTGGTTTCTCCAAATACTGCCTCATTCACAACAATTAAAGGTAGCCTATGGGTTTTCCATATTTTTGAACATTTCAAAAGTGCACCTTACAAAAACTGTATAACATCAAAAATTCTAGGGGGGTTACGCCCGCCTCAGCACCATTCTTCTTCGAAAAAACTTCAACAAAAAAGTTTTGGGGTTTTGAAGGCTTCAAAAAATGCATTGAAAGAGCCTCGTGGTACGGAGTGGAGAGAAAACTGAAGTCTGAGAAAACTTGAAAAACTGCCGCTGTGGTGAAAAAAAAAGTGCCTGAACGCTGAGGTGGAAAAAAACTCGTCATTCAACCTTCGATTTCTTTTGTGTCCCCTTACCAATCCTTTCAAAACCTTTTCTAAGGGTAACATAAAATTGGACTGTTGTAGCTATTGACAAAGGTATTTCGAACCACAGAAACAGCACTGGAGCTAGTGGAAAACGGAACATTCAGTGACATCGATTACATTCTTCGCTTCCTATCTTTATTCGTCAAATTTGTGAACTCCATCCACCTTCTCATCCCTTGCCATAACGAAGTAGAAGCTCATAAATGACATGCGAACTACATATAAATCACGTCACATGGACTTTTGTGACCGTGTCAGAGATAGCAATGATGTGTCTTAAACGTTCATATAAGCAATACATTGCCAAAAATATGTCATCATTCCAACGAACGCTGCCGCAAAGCACCTTTAAATGGAAATTCACATGAGCGCAAGAGATTCTTTTGTAGGAAAGATACTCCCGGTGATGTTGACTAGAAGCAAGCTTTTGTAGAAAAGCAAAAAAGGATGACTGACCAATGGTCTAAATGAGTGTGCCAGGTGACCAACATTGCAAGATAGGTATGAAAATGGTTTTGAAAGCATTACCAGCTAATAATCTTTGGATAGTGACCAACAGTGACATGAGCAGCTTCAAAAAAATGTTGCGAGAATGGATGCGCAACGCCATGCATGATCAAACACAAATTGCTTTGTTTGCGCAGATTATATCCACATAAACTTCCACAGTGTTTCATGTCTTCGAAGCATGAAAGAGTAGAGAATTTGCAGATAAATGTTTAGGAACAAAAATCAATATTTCAAAGTAGCTATGATTTTCGAAAGATGCTAAGAAATCGATAGGGAGAGGAAAGTGGTCCAGATGCTTCTGTGCAGAACAAAAAAGCGGATCACACGCTAATCAATGAACGTGAGCAAACAAGAGGCAAACTTTGCAAACAGAGAAATCTTGAGGATATAGATCCATGAAATGAAGCCTATCCTCGCGCAAATCAGATATGTAAAGGCCAGGAAAGTTCTCAGTCGCCATGGTGGTTGTAAAACAAGTTCTAATAACGAATAGTTCACGAACGACAAGTATATCAATAAAGTACTTTGTTCGAAGACGGATTTCACTACGCTTTGGAGGTTCAATCGCAAATCTACATACATAATACCTGGTCGTTACGATAATTCTGTTACCTTAGAAGGAGATAAATTGTATGACTCTCTAGAAATCTTCTCTCTTATCTACAAGTTATGTGGTGGGCTTTTCGATATATGCACGGCAGACTTTGCAGCCAATTTTTTATTTTGTAGAAAAAATTCCGAATCGCTCACAATTTCGAATTGCATTACTGATGAGCTTGACCTTTCGAGCTGTGCTCGCTTTACTGCTAATGTCCATAAAAAAATCTAGAATGCTAAGAAGAGTAAGATTTTTGAACAGAGAAGATAATGGAGATGAGGCCCTCGCAGGAATGTCCTATTACTGAAACTCATATTCATAAAGATGAAAATGATGCCAACATATAGTAGCATAGCCCCTAGTTCATTACTCATATATGCCAGATATGAGACATTAGCAAAGCTTCTAGCAATAAAATTTTCCGAAGGAAAATGGAGAGAGAGAGTTTAGAACATTTTGCAACCAAGGAAAATAGAGAGAGTGCAACAATATTCTACAACCAAGATCAAATTCAAATACAAAAATCATTAGTCTCACAAAAAGTGAGGATGGGGACATCGAAATTTTGAGAAAAAAGGCCAGTCAGTGTTTTTTCTTCAGATTTTGCCCCATATTACTCCGAAATAAACGTTGACTACTATGGCACACGCCAATGTTGATCCGCTTGATCCGCTCGATTCACTTCATCCACTTCGCTACTGGTCAAGTCAGTGAATTGACCAATGGCAAAGCGGATATGCATTTGATCCATTTCATTCACTTCGCTATCAGTTCACCGATTTGATCGATAGCGAAGTGAATGAAGTGGATCAAGCTCAAATGAATCAACTATGACGTGTGCCTATCCCTGATAATGTTTGACCGATTTGTATTTTGATGCACCCTTGGAATACGTTTTGTCTATACATTAAAAAATGTATAGACAAAAAGCAAAACATGACGTACTCGAAACTTCAGCAACATCCGAAACACCATGACAAAAGTAGAATACTGAACCTAATTGTTGATTCAACTCACCAGAATATTTATACCAACATGTGATTACCCCGTAGAATTGGTATGCAGTTCTGCAAAGCAATGCATTTTTTTGACTGGACATGTGATGACGGAGAATCCTGTCAAGTGACAGTTCCACGGCACTGACCAAAAGTTTTAGCCTTGCAAACTCTACACACTACTGAGTATCCAGATTCCATGTGCCCGGTGAGAGTCGGCTTCGATCGATTGCAAACTAAGAAAAAAGTAACCAGTGACTGCTAGATAACATCATGCGCAACGATAACCTTTTCCCACATTTCTTCAGTGCATTCTAAGCAAATGGAAACATCAGTTTGAGCTACAAATCATTAAGTGGAGCATACGGACATCAAGTGGATTGGTTGAGTTTTTTCTTAGGCAGCTGATCACGACTCAAAGACCGGGCAATCGCTGTGTTTGAGAGGAAATCCATAATACATCACGTTGATGTATAACCCAATCCTCTCTTATGGGCAGAAAAGCATATGTATACTGAGATAATCGAGTAAACGTGCGTAATCTAAAATGGGAGGCTACAAGGGCACTTACAAGCTAATAAAATGAGCTATCAAATTGAAAGATTGTTTAGAAAGAGAAACATAGTTGGCCAATTATTGCGTTCAAAAATATTGCAATGTAAGCATTGTAATTATCAATAAGAATATCGAACGAAAGACTTGGCGTGACCAATCCCAATAACTTGAAGTAACAAATGTCTGGCATAAGTTTGCAAAGGGGAGGGAATCAAGATGTAACGAAACTTGCACGTAACTGAGAACAAACTGGTATTTGCTGCAGCATCGAAAGGGAGATTTCGACAATTTATGTGACAGGGAATCGACGCCAGATGTGAATTCAGCACGACGCAAATGTTATTTTCGATGGGAATGGCCATCGTAGTGAATAAATTAGCAGTGCAGCCAGTTTTTTTTCCAGTCCGATTACGATTAAATCAAGCCAAAAGGTAAACAACAAAAATGCAAACGTACCTTTTGTAAAATATGCGTAGGTTTAGGAGCAATGGGCGGTTTCGATAAAGTTGTGGAAGACCTGGGCCTGTGAGCTGGCACAGGTGGTGCCGGTCGTAAAGCAGCAAAAGCAGAGAAAGCCGGAATCGCATTCTCTAAACCTGAACGTGTAAATCGTGAGAAACACAAACAGCGGACCGAGGCTATTTCACTAGGTTGATGCATGAATCATGCACTAAAAATAGAAAATTTTGGAAACGCTAAGACAATCTAATCAAACACAGCATGCTCTTTGTTTTATGTATTAAAGGTAGTATTTTATGGTATTTTTAGTAAATCAATTTGAAAGATAATCAATAAGTCGTACTGAAAAAATCGAATCGTAAATATTCATAGAGAAACTCGATCCTACCAACTTCCATTAGTCAAAAGAAAAGTAGAAAGTAAAATTAAGACCACCAATAAATTTGGTTTCAGTAGAAATTTTAGTGATTTTTGAATTTCGATTCAAGCACATGCAGAGAGTGCAAAATATTCTTTTTTGTTATGTACCAAATCACAAAATCTTATTGAAGGTGGAGTACTAACGGAATTTTGAAAATTTTGGTGCAAGAATTATGCACCAACCCAACATAAACAGAAACCAGGAAACAGTACCCGTACTGCACTGACCTGTTCCTGTACTGGCATCGCCCTTCTGCAATTGTGCAGTACTAATTTTTTCAAGGATTTGATCGCGTCGCGCACTGACTAATCCGCGCGATCCGCCACCGTTCACGTCCGCCATGGGCATAGGATAAGTCCTATTAATTAGCAAAAATTCCATAAAAAAACAAACACAGACAAATATGAAAAAAACAAACTCACTTCGATATGCTCACTGGACAAAAACAACACTGTTGTTTAGCGCGTTCATCAAGAAGGTGAATGATAACTGTGGAGCTGAAATGTGCGCAATGGGATGAATCATCAGCCGTTATCGATCATGGCGCACCTTGGAACAAGAACGAGCAAACAAAATACGCACACACTTAACCCGCCCCATAAAACGATCAGTTCATATAAAGAATTTAAAGCAAAAGGAACATATTTCACCCAAATTTTCTTTTCAAATGCCATAAGTTTACAAAGAAATAATGTCATGCACGAAAAATGAGAGATTCGTGAATAACATAGAAGACGGTCATCTGATAACGAGTTCACATTCTTCGTGTCATCACAAAAATCGAGAGCAATTTCGAGATGACGTTCGCGAAAGCACAGCAATTTTCGCAGCTTATCTCTCGTCCGACGAAAACAACGTGAAGTGCATACGAGATGTGAAAAGTACGAGAAAACAACTTTGTGAAGCAAAAATCGGTTTCATGGCAAGGGAAAAAACGGTTTCGCTCGTACTCGAGCAAGAAAATGTATAACAACGAAGGAAAGCAATGCAGCTGATTAGAAGTTGTTTGCCAGGTATGGAAAAAGGTCAGTACAGGTGCATTAACGATTTGTGCACATTTCTTCTCCGTAAGACGAATGAATGTACCACTCTTATCTGAGAATTTGATTTCTCCTTTCAATGCATGAGTCACTGTTGAAGCATCGTATGTTATCTTTGGCGAAAGTTTGTGAAGAATGGTAGCATTATGCCGGAATTCAGAGAAAAATATGAGAGGGATCGGAAACTGCTACATTTATTTCAGTGACTTCGGAATTGTATATCGCTAAGATTCAAAATGGAGAAGACGGGAAAAGATGCAGATTAACGATCAAAGCATCTCATCGAAAGCGTGAGAACCAGATCTTCGAAGCAGTTCAGAACATGAGTGTCCGCGAGAAACCAGATTATGAGCAGAAAAGTACCGCATAGTTACTTTAAACCAAAGTTTTCCATGACTGTAATACAGCATGACTTACAGGACAAGATGAATGCATTACATACAAGTTTTTAAGGCTGCCTTGGCGAAAAACCGATTCTGAACATCGTTGCAGATGTTTTCGATAGAACATCATAGTGAAAGCGACCGGTTCAAGATCATGAGATCCTTAGATACGCCGAAGCCGTTATTCACAAGAAATGTTGGAAATTTGAGTCGTAAACTCGATTCCTAAGATGAATACATTTGATCTTAGTGATTCCAAAAAGATGTGTTCTACTGTGCGAAATACGCACTAAAATCCCCGAAAATATTTGCAGCACATTTCATGCAAAAACAATTTTTCTCAGTTTTTGAGAGGGAACAGGTAATATAGCTTCTGTAAGTGCAAAACAGCACGTCGAACCAAAATATGCAGAACATCTGTCAAAACCCAAAGCATGCAGAATACATCTTTATCTGTCAAAACCCTTGACAGATAAAGATGCAATAAAGACATTATTGCCACTTTTTCAGATAAACAGCAAAACGTCACCTTTTCAAAATCGTAAACAAAAAACATTTGGGTGTGTTTTGTATTTTGACTGACACAACAGTTTTCTCCACAAATAGTCTAGTGAGTGCTAAGTGCTACAGATTTGCGCCAATTATATCTGAAGCATAGCGACCGCGGCGCCGCTGCGTCCGCAGTGCAATCCATGGAGCAAAGAGTGCAAGAAAACTTCGAAATTCGCAGTAGGAGGCTTCAAAAATTAACAAGAAATGGGTACACATAACAAAAATTCCCCGCGGGCGGAGGCTCGACAACAGGAGACAAGTGAGACGCAATTTTCCGCTTATCACCAAGAAAGAGAAAGACTTTGAGCAATCTTCAAAAAGATATATCAGATAAAGTTTGGTTGGTTAGGGTCTAATATTGAACAATATTTAGAACTGAAATATAAAACTCGAAAACTCCGTTTCGTTTCTGACCTTAAACGGAGGCTATGTTGACGTTATATTCAATGGAAGACAAGAACATGCCTATCACAAAGCAATGCCAAGAATTGCGAGCGACGAAGATGCAAGTCAAATCTGTCCAAGACATATGACAATGCTGTTCGATAAAAGAAAAAATTTATGGCCACATGCTAATTGATGTCACCGAACCAATGGCTCACGAAAACCGCTGTTTTACACGAGTGCAAATCACGTCGCCAGAGATGGAAAGAACTGGAAGAACAATTGCGGACCTAACTTTCTCAGGAGGAAGAAATCGAGACCTTCGTGATAACAACATGATCCTTAATGGGTAAATGAAGTCATGCGTGATTAAGCGACATAAGAATACATGCTCTCAAGAAAACTCTATACTCACAATCTCAGCTAAATAAATGTCTAGAAAAAACCTATTAATACAACAAGCTCAGAGCAATTTGACTGCACGAAAGCAGACTTCAATGACTGCATTTTTTGCAGAAACGACTGCGATAAACGTCAATCAATCATTTGCAAGACACAGCCGCAAGTCAACATTAACTGCGCTCTTTAACAAGAATTCACAACCCTACCTTCTTATTGTCTTACGTGTAGTGGATGCAGTTTCAGCCCAATCTATGGAGCACTTTACTTTGAAAAATAAACAGCCACATGTGTTCCTCAAACTGTGAAATGAAAAACTTGCCGGAAATTCACGCCAAACACAAAAAACATCAAATGTCACGGCTTTTAAGATTGTTCCCCGGTCCTGCCACGATTTTCTGCAATAGCCAGCGGCGCGAAAATCTGGCGAACCAGCAATTTGAACTTCCATTTCACATTTTCTTCTTTGTCTGCTTGTTCGACATTGTTTGTTAGCAGATGGGTTTGTCTGCGTTTTGACCTCTTTGGAAGTCGAATGCTGTGCAACGAGCAATTTGCGATGGGAGATGTTGATCCCGTCAGTAATGGTGAGTGGTTGCATGTCTCTATTGTTGGTGGTGACGCGTTCTTCTCAGTATCTAGTTTTTTAAGGGAGTTCACGGTTGATAGATATTTCAAAGCCTCTGGCGATACCAAACGATGATCCGGTGCATCCTTTCTTAGCTTCCAAGACTGTTTATGTGAGTTCGTTATCCATACAATTGTTAGAATTTCTTACAAGGGTGGAATTTGTGTTGAGTTTGTATGCAGTAGTAGTCTTATTCCAATCATTGAATTCTGATACACAATACATTTTCTTTATGTTGCTGTTATACTGTTTGATATTTTTGATTGACACCGCTTCGTATTTCCTGATGTTTTTTTTTAATAGGAGCAGCATCGTCAGCCAATCTATGCATGCGCTTTCAACCCCTATCAGCCTGATTGTTGTGTTCCACTTCTCGCAACTGCGGCGAAAAACATGGTATTTTCTAAGTTTCCGCTTTTTCATTTTCGTAGGCTGATCTGCATAACACAGCTTTCAGATAACCATTTACGAATGTCCCTTGGACTCTAACAAGATCACCCTTGTCCGAAATATCAAGGATCCATCGGTCAGTTGTATTTCTAGCTCTAATGGTAGTTGGCTTACCTAACCTTTTGACAATCTTTCATTCCTCTGTGCTGATAATTTTCTTTAGCCAGACATGGATATCTTCACGTTGACATGGTGCTATGACATCACTGACAAAGCCCATCGTATTGCTTTTGGAGGTTATTCTGGTTTGATTCGACTCGTGGATCCTAGTTCAGGAAGCTTGCTTATGGTTGGTGATTTTTTTGTTTGTGAATGGAGAGCTTCAACTATATTCAATTTGAGAACATGTATGGGCATGGCGATCACGTCAACGAGATGCGTACCGACCCTAATAATTCAATGATTTTCGCTTCTGTTTCCAAAGATACTACCATAAGGCTTTGGAATATCAGAGTCCAAGGACCGATTGCCATATTGGGTGGTTATGAAGGACATAAGGATCAAATACTTTCCCTTGTAAGTTCTCATATCAGTTCCTAAAGATCGTGTAAACTTTTTCGTCTAGGACTGGTCACTCGATAGCAAGTACATTGTGTCATGTAGTATGGACCATTCCATTCGACTTTGGTATCTGGGTACAGACAAGCTGCAGGAACGCATTCGTGATAGTATGACGCTCAAAGGCCAGGCAAACTTTCAGAGGGAGCTGGCAGAGTAAGTTTGTTCATGCGATAAAGTTGATACCTCATAGTTCTCATTTGATTCATTATCTGCGCTGGATTTTATATTCAGCAACTTGAGGAATCTTGTAACGGATGTGTAGAGTATCTGTTTTAGTGATTGTCAGTCTGGGAGAACCATACAAATCCACTATCCTATTGCCATCAACACCGATCTTCACAATGATTACGTTGATTGTGTTCGCTTCCTGGGACACTACGTTATATCAAAGGTCTGCTTGCCTGCTCTTTCATGAATGCTTTGTTATAAATTATTTTAGGGCTCAGATATGTCAGTGGTTGTATTCAGATTCGGTTCCTTTGGTGAGGAATTCTACAAGATCAGGCCAAAATTGCAGGTCGTGTTGATTCTTATATATTACTATGATTTATAGTGGTCATTCATTTAAGTTATAGGTCGACACATCAGCAATTCAGCTCGTTCGAATGGATTTGCCTGATTCTGATATATGGTTCATCAAATTCGACATAGATCCGCTCAATCGGGTACCATTTACCAATCACATTCAAAATTTTCTAACGTAATTTTGATTACCAGTGGATTGTGAGTGGTAACAAAATGGGACAACTGTGCTTTTGGGATCTTACCGAAGGCCTACCAACAGTCAACATGTAAGAATTTTTATTTCAATCTTAGTATAGGTTTGCTATTCTATGGTGGATGAGCATGGTCTTTGCAAATGAACTTTTTGGAACACAAGTTTGCAATCTACGTTATTCAGGACAGTTACGCTGAAAATTGCGGAATGTTGCATCCGTCAGATATGTTTTGGGGCCAATGGAAGGATTATGGTTGCTGTTGCGGATGACTACTCGGTGACTAGACTTGAACGCATCTTGGAAGGAGAGGATGTAATGATCTTATATATAAAGCTGAATGTCTGTTTGTATGTATGTATGTCTGTATGTCTGTCTGTGTGTACGTATGTTCCGAATAGAAAATTCCATTTCTGAACCGATCCGGACCAAACTTGGCACACATACACTTCGGGCCCCGGCGCGTGTCATAGGCTTTCGTCATCGATCGATATCGATTTTATCGATTTTTATCGATTTTTTTGCTGAGTTCACCTACGCGGCTGGGATTTGGCACAGGGGGGTAATCGAGCATGGGGATTTCGAATACAATATTGGTTTTCAGGATTATCGATTACTTTTATCGATTTTATCGATTTTTTTGCAAAGTTTGAGCTAGGGGGCTGGGAGTTATCACAGGGGGGTAATCGAGCATGGGGATTTCGAATACAATATTGGTTTTCAGGATTATCGATTACTTTTATCGATTTTATCGATTTTTTTTGCAAAGTTTGAGCTAGGGGGCTGGGAGGTGGCACAGGGGGGTAATCGAGCATGCTGATCATCCCCAAGGGGGGTGATCAGCATGCTCGATTACCCCCCTGTGCCAACTCCCAGCCCCCTAGCTCAAACTTTGCAAAAAAATCGGTAAAATCGATAAAAGTAATGGACGATCTTGAAAACTAATATTGTATTCGTAATCTGCATGCTCGATTACCCCCCTGTGCAAACTCCCAGCCCCGCAGGTCAAACTTTATAAAAAAATCGATAAAATCAATAAAAGTAATCGATAATTCTGAAAACTAATATTGTATTCGGAATCCCCATGCTCACTTCCCCCCTGTGCCAACTCCTAGCCCTGTGGGTGAACTCTGCCAAAAAAGTCGATAAAAATCGGTAAAATCGACATCGATCGATAACGAAAAGTGGACTGTGACACCCGCCGGGGCCCGAAGTGTATGTGTGCCAAGTTTGGTCCGGATACGGCGGAGCCGGGTAAGCCAGCTAGTTTTCAATATTTTGGACGTCAGGCAGGAGGCAGCAAGGGCTAGCCGCCTTTGCTTCTGGAAGTGCCTGGGGAACTGCAGACATCCTCGGTCCTATAATCACTCTTAACACTTTTGATGACTTCACAAGCAAGGTAATCAGTCGAAAATCTTTTCAAAGAGTAATTTACTTGGATAGAATTGAAAACCTTGCAGTTTTATCCAATCTCAGCTATGATCGGTTCCAGCTTATCGAGTCAGGTTCAAGGCACTCTTCTTCAAAATCCGTTTAGCAGAAAGGGTTAATTCTGCAGTAAAAAGACGTGTGCTATCAATCTTTGAAGTCCTTGTCTTCGATCGAAATGGTTGAAATGGAAAAGAATTACAAGAATATGTTTAAGATTCCGAATCGAAGATTTGACAGACCAGGTTATGCGTCTAAATCAACTCAAAAACTGATATTATTATAGCGACTTTGATGTTGAATGAAGCTCTACGAGGCTTTTGAAAATTTATCATTTTATTTGCTATGGATTCAAAACATAAAACCCATATTGGCAATCTAGCATGCTTGAAAGTGAACAATTGGGCATAGATCATCTGTGATTCAAGGCGCGAAGAAGTCTGAAGCTCCTTAGGTACTTCCATAAGCAAAAGCGGCGAGCCATCGCCGCCTGCATCGCCCAATACTTTTAGCTATGATTTCATTTTGGCTTTATAAGAGCAACTGTACCATGAAATTTTTTAAAGGCTTGCTTGAGTGTGTCTCAAGCTGTTTTTATTGCCTAGTGAATGATGCTACTTTCGCATGTATCTTTTTGTTGTTTACAGATACCTTCGTTTTGTAAGAGCACGGGCCTTTCTTCAACTAATGGACCATCTGCGAAAAAAGCGAAGAGGCGGAGCAGAAAACATGGAAAGAAACGAAATAGCGAGTCAGGAAGTTCGGAAAATAGCGACGATCATGCGAGCTGAGCTTCTCAAGAAGTACAATTTTGCGTCTTTGAAGGAAGAAATACCCGTTTTGTTGATGTGCAATTGTATAAGGCTATGTCTTGCTTATGCGATATTCTTACTATCACGTATAGAAACGAGTCTGAGTTCTGAAGTACTGGGTAGTATAGTGTTGCGATCTCGAATCCTTGTATGTAAATAAAAGTTTCGATAGAATCTGTTTTCTTTTATCGAGTTGATATCTCCATACTTTCTATCTCTTTGTTTATTCTATTCTATTATATTTTTCAGCCTTTGCTGTTCTCATGCCTACATTGAGAACGTAGCTCGTCTTATCACTTTTGTGATCAACAATTTTTTTCGTAAAATGTGCTTTACAGTCTTGCCTATGATTTGATCGCATTTTCAGAAATAGCGATGACAACCGGTTCAAACGACTTTTACTACTCGAACAAATACGAAGACGATGAGTATGAGTATCGACACGTTCATGTGACAAAGGTTAGTTTGGAGTTTATCAAGCTTGTGCTATTTGAGCATTTTATTATTCAGGAAGTTGCAAAACTTATACCAAAAAATCGTCTGATGTCGGAAACCGAATGGCGAAGTCTTGGTATCCAGCAGGCGAGTAGCTGAAATTACTTATTACCTTTTGTCATCCAGTCGCATTTAGTCACCAGGATGGGTTCACTACATGATTCATGGACCAGAGCGACATGTGCTTCTATTTCGTCGTCCATTACCGAACAAAAAGAATGCTGCAGGAAATCCCTCCACTCAGCAAACGCAGACACAGGTTGCCCTCATTTAAGCGCTTTTTACGTTCTTGCCAATCTGCCATCTTTACCTCCAGGTCGGTGTGCGTTGATCTTCGATGGTGGGACGGCTTGGACCGGAAGTACCCTGGTTTATACTTTCTTTTCACCCGTTCACTTGCTTGAGTGTATCTCGTTCATTTTGTGCATCTCATCTCAATTAATGTCCATTTATTAGTGTACAGCCTGTAAGATGATGCTCATTGATTCAAATGTGTCTTTTTACTATCATGAAGTTTATCTTTCTGGAATCGCAGCGTCACTGTGCAAAAAAGGACATACTTATGGAGGCTGGTTCTGTGTGTCACTCGTCAGACAACGCTAGTGGAAAAATATGAATCCACATAAGCAGCAGCAGTAAAACTCTTTCAAACCTTCCTCATCAAGCGTTGAGCATCGGCGCCAACCTCTTAAAAAGCAACGCGCGTATCAGAGCCACATTCATGGGACTAAGCTTTATTGTCAAAGCAGGAAGGAAAGTGGTATCGCGAAACATGGTCCACACTATACTTGGGAAACTCGAAATTTTCTTTCGAATATTCGAATATCGAACAATATTCGAAAATCGAATTTCTTGAATATTCGACTGTCGAATATCATTCGAAAATTGAAAACTTAGAATATTCAACTATCGAATGTTATTCGAAAATGGAAGTTTTCGAATCAAATATTATTCGAATATCGAATATCATTCGATATTCGGGTTTCGAATATTATTCGGTTCTCGAATGATATTCGATTTTCGAATACTTTTCGAATAATTTATGTCAGTGAGATTACCTATGAGAGACAAACATCTAGAAAAAAATTTTCTTAGGTAACTATCATGAATAGACACTTTTTTATGTTACAATTTACGATGAAAAAACGATTCAGTGATCAAGTAGAGAGACTCAAAAACCTAAAAGCGTACTCGTGCTACGGTTGTGAAGAGTTTTTTCAGACCCTAAAGAAGATAATTTATCCTCATTGAGAGTTGTGGATTGACACACAGGGGTCCCAACATCATATGGGTCTTTGCGCTGACATCAACTTAGACTTACAGTATGGAGCGATTTATCGATCGCTGTTGTTGCTTTCTACTGTTGTAAAATTACCGTAGAACACTGACAAGGAAAAGATATTCGGTGTTCGTGGCCATTTGGAATGCGATGTGTACCGTAAGATGCACTTTAAAACGCTGATTCTAAATCTGTGCTCAATATCTGCGAAACGATCTTCTGAAGGAAGTTATGAATTTTTTTCTTAGAAATTTTGCGTACTTTTGGGTAGTTAAATCACCGAAGTTGTTCTAGGTTACCGTTTGAAGCTATTGAAGAGAGTCTTCAAAGCAGTATTGTTCTATTTATACCTATTTGAATCATGCTCAGCATTTGAAAAGGGAAGAACCTTTTTCGATGATTTTTATCCTCCGCAGTAGCACAGTTTATTCAGGAGATAATAATCATAACTCCATCAAGGTCATCGCTTCACAGATATGGAAGACAGCATTCGAACCAGCCTTAAAAGGCGCATTTTTTGATATACAAATCTTTACGAATGGTCACGGTCACCAGGTATCCTTCCTTTGTAAGGAGGGTTTTGAAAAATCAAGAAAAAAGGCCATCTTACACTAGACTTCTAAAGCAAGGTACACCACCGTAACAGATGTTTCCCAACGCTTTTACAAAACGTGGTTGCACATTTGAAAAGCTTGAAAACTTGTGTGTAGTTAAATGATGGGGAAATTTTTTTGGATGTCTCATTTCACAGTTGCTCTATATGCTGGAAGTTCCTACCGTGATGACACAACAAGAAAAACATGGGTAATTTGCTTTCTGCTGTATTTGTAAGCTGAAGCCATCTCTACAGGATGTTACTTATAAGTTGGCAAAAGACTTCGTGAGAGGTATCAGCGATCAAAAGGTGTATAGATACTCTTGGAACACCACAAGAGTATCTATACACTGTCTGATAATGTGGATTGTATGTACATGTATCTATACCCTGTCTGATGTGGATATCGAATTTCCGAATAATCGATGTTTATCGAATTTTCGAATAGTCAATTCTTACCGAATTTCCGAATATTTGGTGCTCATTGAAGATCGAATAGGTGATATCGTATGATCGAATTAATGACCATCAAATATTCGACTATCGCATAATATTCGAAACTTGAGATTTTCGAATACTCGACTTTCGAATAATATTCGAAAATGAAAATTTTCGAATATTATTCGAAATCCTAGATTTTCGAATATTCGAATTTTCGAATCATTCGCATTCGAATGATTTATTCGAATAATTGAAGAGTCATTCGATTCGGTCCAAAGTATAGTCCACACGTACAATGCGTTTGACGGGGACAGCGCCGCGTAGTGCAGTTACACACCTGCGCGCGAGCGCTACCGTCGGCTGAAGCGTGCAGGACCAAGCCGCGCAAAGCGGCGTGGTCCTGCACGCTGCAGGACCACGCTGCTTTGCGCTTTTCTTGTATCAACTACTCTTCCTTCTTCTTTCCTGGCTTTTTCGCTGTTCTGCTTCCAAATTTCTGAGCTTTCCCTGTCTGAAACGCTACTTCGGTGCTCTTCCTGAGATCTCTCAAAGTATTACTGCGCCAATTGGAAGACAAATTGGAGGTTTGAAGTGTAAACGAAGATGTAATCTAAATCATTTCATCTGACAAGGGAGGTGTTTTCGGTCGAAGTGGCCTTTTCAAATGAAATTGATACGGCTATAAAGAGCATCAGACGCTGATTCCACATCTGTCTTCATTATCTGCCGAGCGCCTCTAGCCGTCGAGTCATGAGCGTTTTTTGAGTTGAGAAATTACATGCATAACTGGGACAATATTCGTCATAATTGCTCAAATGGTCCAATGTTGATTATCAAAGCACTTTATTTGAACAATACTTTTTATCCAAAGCACTCATACTTAACACTGCTATATTTGAGCGCTGAGAAGACCGAAAAATTTTATTTTACTTGATTATGCGTTCATTTTTCGCACCAAGAAAATATTCATAACTCGACGTCTAGGGGCGCTCGGCAGATAACGAAGACAGAGTTGGAATCAGCGTTTGATGCTCTTTATATTCGTATCAATTTCATTTGAAAAGGCCACTTCGACCGAAAACACCTCCCTTGTGAGAAGTCTTTACAGATGAAGGTAGATATGTGTGAGGTGTAATTGTATGTCGTATAGGTTGGAAGAACAGTTTGAGTGAACAGCGCCAACGCGCTGTTCACTCAAACCTAGACGATATACGATTATGCCCGCTGAAACAGAGTCGATGTAATGGATCATGACATCCGGAATCAGCCATCTGAGAAAGTCTGGATGAAATGAAAGATGTCATGAGCAAAAACGCTCAAAGATTGATACCTCCTTCCTTAGCTGCGAAAAAAATCATATTCGATATCATGACAAATCGCATTGAGCACCAGAGCAAGGAAAATGGCAGTACGCCGCTACAAAAAAAGGAAAAATTACAAGTACAGTGATAAGAACAAAGCCGCGATGTTGTGCGCAGCATGGTCCCTGCACGCTGCGCCTACGGTAACGCTCGCGCGTAGATGTGTGACTGCACTATGCGGCGCTGGCCTCGTTGAACGCATTGTATGTATCGCACCTGCTTCAGGAAAAGTTGGCGCAGGCTGACCTGCTCCTACTTCCGAAATAAGTGAAAGCCGAAAGTGATGCAATATGTAGTAAAAATTTGACTTGTTGAAGGTACGCCGGCAATCATATTCTGAACTGGGGGTTCGGATTCCTCACAAAAAGGCCATTCAAAAACTTATGTAAGGCCTCGTAACACACTAACTCGAATTACGAGTTAGTGTGTTACGACTTCATTGCAAGCCGATCTTCTTGCATTTCGATTGTGATATTTTTCCAATACGGCTAATCGTGACCAGCTATCACAACTGAAAAACAAGAAGATCGGCATGCAGCGATCTCGTAACACTTGTCTAGCGATTGAATCGCGACGGTCAAATTGCGTGAACTCTGCCTGAGGCCTAACAAATGTCGCAGTCGCTATGACCGTGCTTTACTCTATGAGTTTACACGTTTCTCCGACTGAGCACACCCATTGGAAGACATTTTTCATTATCTACCGGAATGGTGTTGCCAAATGCAGGCGGAGTGACTGGATGTTATAACCAGAGTCAAGCGTAGGGTGTGGCACGCCACACCTGCTCATAATCGTCGGGGGCAGGCGGCCATGCGATTTATGAGCGGGCGGGCACCGGAAAAATAGTTTGCTGAATTTTTGCGGTCCGCTTGCAGATATTTGGAAGAATATTAGCTAAATTTTAGACGAATGCTTGGAGAGGGTTCCTTCATACTACGCCGCGTACGCGGCGTACGCGGCCTAGTATGAAGAAA